TAATTTCACGTGTTGATCAACAATAATCAACCAATAAAATTTATTGTAACACAATATAAAAAATTGCCGAAGTAAAATATTTTTTTACAATTTATTAAAAAACAACCAAAAATTTCACAAATAATAAAGTTAAAGTCTAATTTAAATCAAAGTGCAGTATATAAGCAGTTTAGAATACTTCAGAACTATTTAAAACCGGTTACATTTGTAATATCCTTCAGTATTAAACCAGAGATTAGTGACAATTCAATTCTTTCGACCAGTACGCAATTTTCAACAAATTCTTTTGAAAATTTTGTAATAATTATAAGATTAAATTGAAACTAAAAGATAAATGGTTCAACTTACCAGATATCTTTTTCTTTAATTCTATATCAATTCCAATTTGTTTTGATATAGTTTCAACATTACCTAACTCATCATCATTATCATCTTGCACCTGAAAATCTGTTCAACTATCAATTTCTTCAACCAATTGTAACCTATAATTGTATGACTTTGATAATTCATCAATTGAGCCAGAAAGGTAGTCAAAGCAATGTGAATAACATAATCCTAAATGTAAAAACAAGTTTCATGATATCCGTATTCACAAATTAACATCTGACTATCATTCCATGACAGATCTATGCATTCTAGACGATCACATAGTTTACTAACTACTGGCTGATATTTTGAGTGATATCCTAATGGCAAAACACTAGAAGAAAATTGTGTTTTAATATCAGGAAAGTAAGAATAATCCTTTTTAATTCTTTTTCCTTCTGTTTTTAACTTTTTTAACTCTGCTTTGTTAGGATTTTGGTATAAATTATCAAAACAATCTAGATAAAATATAGCTGATAATTTAACTAAATCATCAAGATCTTTTTTGGAATAGGTTATGCTTTGGCTCAAAAGATTTTACGAATGAATTTTCATGTCGGCAATGATCTAGAAACAAAGCATCCAGTTTCAATGATTTTCCAGTAAATACTTTTGCACTGGTATGTTAAATCACTTTCCAATAATGAATGTCTGATAGAAATGCTAACATTATTTTATCATAATTACGCCTATAAAATCATCACATTGCAGTCTATAATTGAAATATTGTGTCAATATATTCTTCAAATTGGTTCATTCAAAATAAACAAGTGTAGATATTCAGAGTTGCTAGTACCAGATTATCTAATAGGTTAAGAAAGGTAATATATGATGTATCTTTAAACATTTCAAATTTTTTTACAACATATTTTTTTATTAAGAGTCAGCCTTCATGTGCTAAATATAATAATAAATTAATTTTCCATAGTTTAGGTTTTGTCACCAATTTTTTTATCTCTTTAAAAATTAATTTGTACATGCAATTAAAAAATGTGTGAAATGTAATAAATACTGATTCACGTGTGTTGAGTAAGACGTAAAGAGGCCTCAGAAATAGAATAAGGTGTATTATTTCTTTTGAAATGAATAATTTAGACTTAGATTCCAATTTGTTTACAATTGCTCTTCTTATAAATAGTTGTTCTGAAAAGTCAGCTAGAAGAGGAATTACATACTTTTCAAGATATTTTTTAACTTCTGGTAATCTTAAAAAAAAAAGAATATAAGTTATTTAAAGTTTTTGTTATTAATTATTATTTCTATATTAACCTAATAAATGTTTGAATAGCTTGCATATAATTTTTAGTATTTTTTAGGTCTAACTCAATACAATCCACTAATTTTGTTTAATCGAATTTTCAGTGGTATTTTTCTGAAATATCTGCATCATAAGAATAAATCATCAAATTTTCAATTATATCTGTATTACTATTAATCAAATATACCAAATTCCAGTTTGATTTTATTGAATTGTAACTATTAGCTAAAGTTATCATTTGTTCTTCACACATTTTTTTAAGAAGTAAAGCGTCAATGCTACAAGGATTATGAATAGGAGAATTACTATTAGAATAGTAAGGAATCAGTAAAGTTTGGGTGGTGTTAAATAATATAGTTACCATGTGAGCTATATGTGAAGTGGAGTTTGTAGATGGAATACGAGTTCCATGTATATTATGGTAATCATCAACACATGCGATTATTATATTATTGAACTAAATTTTCAATTTATTTTTTTAAAATAAAAACATTTATGAAAATATCATAATCTTACAAAATTTTGAATATAAGTTTGTACATTGGATTGATGTTTTTTTTCAATTTTATCAAGTCAGTTGAAAGATATTTGATATATTGTACTAAATCTCATCTTAGTTATAATATTTACACAATGTGCAGAAGCCTCAGATTCTACTAAGAATAATCCAATAGCAGATTTAGTTCTGCTTACTTGTTTATTTTGTAATCCTGCTATTTGATAGCAAAGTATCATAACCTTTTGTTTTAAAGATTCTTGGGTTTTTTTGTTTTTTTCTTTAGGATTCATTACTCTAAATAAAATGTCAAAAAATCCCTGAAGCTTAGGATCATGACTTTCTATAAATTTGATAAATTCCGTTACATCCAACTTTGATAAATTTCCCTTTTGATGGTCTTGATAAATAACATTAGTCATTCGTGTTATTTGATCATTAAAATATTTTGAAAATCATTTAAAATCTATATCAACAAGTATAATAATGCAATTAGTAAATTATAAATATTTTAAATAATATAAAATAAATTAAATACCATTATTTTTCTCAGAGTTGCGCATATAATCATTTACTTTTGCTCTCAACTCTAATACTTCTTGTTCGAGTTGTTCTATACTTGAAACATTATTTAACAAATTTTCATATGTTTCTTGTAATAAACAAACCCGCTTTACCCTATTGCCCTTATCATTATATGCCGAATCTCTCTCATGTGTTAGTTTTTTACTTGATTTTGAAATATTTCTATCAAATACAACCAATTCATTATAGTGTTTTTCACAAAGTTGGTCATGTAGCTTAAGTTCTATAGCCAGACTTTGAAATTCAAAGCCTTTTAAGGCCTTTTGAAGTAAATTTGGCGTCAATTGTTGAAATTTTTCATTAATATTGTCATTGCCACAAATTACACATGGTCCTATATTTTTATGAGGTCTACCCTTTACCATTATTATTAATAGAAGTTTACTCTATTTTGGAATCTTAATAAAGTAAGGTTTGAAAAATATATGTACGAAATTTCAATATATGTTATTTAGAGAAGTCGCGTGAGTTTTATATGAGTGATATATTTCTTTTTTTAAAGTAACAATAACAATATAAATGTTGATTATTTAAATTGATTATGTGCCACGTGAATTAACCTATAATCGTGAATTTTAACTATGCTGATTGTAGCTAAGCTTTGTGAATCTGGCCTAGAAAATATAGAAGAATTTTCTGATATACTTCAGCCAGAGGTGCTAAAGGCAGATGAGTTGCCTACCAATGAGACCACAGATATACCTATATTTAATATGCCAGCCTTGCATCACCCAGAAAAGAATATATCTCTACCTAGCACTAGTAAAGATAAGAAGGTGGATAAACAGGATGAATTGACTTAAGCTCTGTTCGATTATGTGGTAGAAAATGTGGAAGTTCCAATCACCTCAAACTCTAGGGTATCCAAAACTACTAAGACTTCTGAATAATCTGAGCTAGTAATTGATAAGCCTGAAACCAGTAAGCCTCTTGAACCTACTAATGAGATATCACCTACTATTCTCTTGTCTAAATCTCAGCAAGAAGAGTATCTCAAAAAAAGGCAGTCAAACTCAATGAGAACTCAGATGTCTTTGTGACTATTATCGAAAAAGACAGGCTTGATTTCACTACATTTTGTGATAGAATAGAAACTGATTCACGAATGTATGCTTAAGCTATAGAGATAGAGAATAATCCCAAAGAACATATAGACATGATAATACGAGTAAGATTAATTAAAGAAGAAATAATCCGTCGCTTTCTGAGGAAAATGAGATCATATCCTTATGGCTTGATACTGATGAGAAATGAAAAAAAACAGTAAGCATACTTCAGGAGAATGGTATGCTTTGGTAAAGAGTGAATAAAAAGCCAGCCCTCTCGTTCAAGAACTTCGAGATGGATATCTTCAAATCTTTTTTCTCACCCTACAGATCAATAGATCAAAGAGGAAATTCTAAATTATTATAATTCCTTGACTATATATATATTTTTTCGCTTATCCTATCTACCAACAATTTTCAAATCAATGTAAACCCCAAGCCAGATAATATAAGCCATATTATTCTTTCCTTCTCTTTATCCCAATATCTTACACAGATCATAGTATAATAAAATGTCAGAATAATTATTTTTGAATTGAACTTTTTTCTGCATAGTATAACCAAACAATCTACATATTACCAAATATCTTATATATTATCAAATAACAACATGACTGGTATCGCTACTAAGTATGTAACAGAAAACAGGCTCAATAATGAGATGAGTATCGAAGAGCTTAGTAAACACGCACCAGCATTAGACGTTCTTTTGACAGATAAAGTTAAGAGAGATCAGACACGTCGATGTCTTCAAAAAGAATACAACTTTAGCAAAGAACAGGTATTTGTATTGATTCCTAAGCTGACGGCTAGTCAAAAAAAAGTGAAGTGAAACAAGCTGTATTCCATAATACTTCAGATACTTCTGATATTATTCAAAAAATAGAACCGGTAGAGAGAAGCATAGTAAATGTGTGCTAAATTTTGCAAAAAGAGACTATAGTCAAAGCTCATTATAGTAAATCTCATTATAGTGAATTTGACTTATAATGAACTTTTTTTATTTCCCTTATTTATTCTATATAAAATTCTATTCGTTATAGTAAATTTAATAATAAAATATCGATATTAGATATAGTGAATATATTAAAAATTTAAATATAGAACATATATTATAAATTTATATGCATTATAATGAATATCACGTGATATATATAATATTTGTAGATCATATATCATAATACATTTTTTTATCTATTGTAATAAATTTTTTATAGTTCATCTATGGTAACACAGTTTTTTTCTCAAAATGCCACCCGTTAGAAGAGACAAAGAAAAAGTAAACGGAACCAAAAAAAGAAAAAGCTTATTATATGCAGAAAAAAAAGGGTTATGTAAGTGGCAAAAAGATAATCCGTCATATAACCAAGAAGATTTTGCTAAAAAATTTGATATATCAAAATTGCAAGTTTGTAATATATTAAAAGAAAAGGAAAAATGGACATCTATTGATATTTCAAATAAGAAAGTTAAAAATCAAAAATGGAATAGAGATGCTAAATTTTCAGAATTTGAATCTGCATTATATTTGTGAATGCAGCAAGCATTGGCTTTGAACTTAACTATTACAGGGGATGTTTTAAAAGCTAAAGCTTTGAATTTTGCAGTTAGACTACAAATAACATCCTTTATTGCTTCAGATGAATGGTTAGCAAAATTTAAAAAATGGTATAATATAAGACAAATCAATAAAGCCAGAGAAGCAAATAGTACGCTATTAGAAACATTGGAAGAAGAACGTAAGATTTTGCAAGAAATTATAGAATAATATGATCTTTGCGATGTTTATAATGTTGATGAAACAGGTAAATACATTAAAATAAATACAATTTTATTTTTTTTTTTTTACAAAAATTTACAATTTTATTTATATATATATTAGCTTTATTCTGGAATTTAGAACCATTTAAGACACTTTCAGATCATTACATTTCTGATACTAAAAAATTAAAAAATCGTATTACAGTTGTTTTAACCTGTAATGCTAATGGAAATCACAGATTACTTACTTTAGTAATACATAAGTGATAAACTTCACGTATTTTAAAAGGAATCAAAAAGGATAATCTGCCTGTCTGGTATTATTGAAACCATACAGCTTGAATGCAAGTATCAGTGTGGTGTGATTACCTAAATAAACTTAACCAATTAATGAAATAACAAAATTGTAAGATATTGTTATTAGCTGATAATACGTTAACTCATTTAATGGATGAAACTATTTTATTGTCAAACATTAAAGTGCATTTCCTTTCTCTGAATACAACTGCTCATCTACAACCCTTAGATGCTAGTATTATTAATAGTTTTAAAGTAAATATAAATTGTTATTAAATTATTATTTTTAAAATAATTTTACTTATTATATATTTATTATTTTAAGCTTAATACAGAAAGTTATTAGTTACGAACAGAGTAGAAGTATATGATTTAACCCAGAAAAATGACTCTAATATAACGTCAGTTGATATTCTTGATACTATAACATTTGTTAATGAAGCATGAGAAATTGTAAAACCAAGTACGATTGAACGATATTGAAAAAAAACAGGTATTTTACCTGATTATGAAGAATATGACTCTAAAGGTAGCAACTCTGAAGAAAACAATTTGGACTGGGATCAAGAAATTGATAAAATTACTTCAGAATTGCAAAATATGATTAATGCACTAAATTTATGAGATCCTATTGCAGCTGAAAAATTTATTTATATTAGTGATAAAATACCAATAGGACCATTATCAGATGAAGAAATAATAGATGCGGTAATTTCAAATCCTGAAAAAAATGATACAGAAGAGGAGGAGAAACCAGCAGAAATTAATATTATTACTAACAAAGAAGCTTTAAATAGTTTGAAAAAGGTAATTTGATATTTTAAAAATCCTTCTGATAATATATCAATTAATTATACAGAGTTAAAAGTTCTTAGTGCTTTAAAATCAAAAATTAATAGATGTATTCAAGGCAATATAAAGCAATCTACATTAGATAATTTTGTGCAATATTAAATTTTTGAAATAAAAAAATTTTAAAAAAATCGCGTTATAAGAAATTTTTTTTTATTATATAAAATTCACTATAAAGAGATTTTTCGCTATTGTGAATACTTTGTTATAGTGAACAAATTGAATGGAACTGAGAGTTTACTATAACGAGCTTTGACTGTAAAGATTTGGCCTAGTGTATTATTCAGGATAATCTTAATGAAGCAGAAGTAAAGTTATAGCTAAAACTTTAGTTGAATCTGTCTATAATGCTAGTGTTAGTTTATCACGTCTCAGTAGACTTTAAAGAGAGTTGTGAGATCTTAAAGCCTCAGAGAAAATTGTCTCTGCTACATTGATCCCAGATATAACTCGTTCAGCTAATAAAATCTAAAAGGAGCATAGTAAACAATGTAAAGATGAAGGGATCTATTTTCTGGATCACTTTTTGTTAGAATTGATTAAGGAGAGATTGGATGCGTATGATGTATCCAAAGCTTCTAACTTACAAGTCCTTACTGATATAATGATAATGTTCTGCATCCATTCTGCTAAAATTAAAACATTGTATATATCTAATAGAAGTGTAACTGAGTATGCAAAAAACTGAGGATAACAAGATATTCTCTGGGTATTTAGATCACTAGAGAAGAACAAGGAATGGGCGAAGCAATTAAAGTTCTGGTGGAAAAAAATGACAATTATAAATTGGCAAATATCTCGCCCGGCTTTTATTAAAAAAATCCAATATTTTAAAATTAAACCCTCCAAATATACATAATAAAAATATAAAATCCTAAAAATTTATCGTATGACCTTGACTTTCTACTACCATTCCTACACGCCTTGGCATAGACCTTACAAGATTAATACATAAGTTTACATCGATTGCCTCCTATTCTTCCCTTATTAACCTCATAAAAATTTCCTGCATAACTGATTTTTTTTCAATGACTATAATATTAACCTTCTTCTCGACATTTCTTTTCATTATTGCCTATAGATTCTCAATCGGATTAAGATTCAGAGAAGAAGATGGCCAATCGAGAACTCGAGGACAACAATCTCAAAGCAAAGCGATCGTAAGCTTGGCTCAATGCTTAGGATCATTATCCTGTTAGAATGTCCACCTATTTCGAAAGATCCAGGATGCTTGCTCAAACAAATTTTCAGTTATAATATTCTGGTAAAGCTCCCCATTTATGTTCTCTGTGAACATGTGAAATCTGACAATTCCTTTACACAAAACGCATCCCACAGATGGACTTTAAAGGGGTGTTTTATCACAACTCGTTTTGGCATTATTTCTCCAACTTTATAATGAACTAACGTCATATTACGAAACATCTGAAATGTCGATTCGTCAGAAAATACGATATTATTTCAACATTCTTCTTGATGAGCTTTCGCCTAAGTGACTCGACGATTCATAGCATCCTGGGTAAGAAAAGGAACTGAACGAGAAATACAAACTTTATACCCAAGGTCTTGAAGGTTTTCTCTAACCGTCCGAAGTGCAATATCAAGGTCAGGGTATTTTTTTTTAGTTTTCGGTTATTTCATTACTTGACGCACATTTGTGCGATTTCGCAATTCGATCAAAATAGCGACGCTGAAAAGAAGAAAGACGTTTTGGATGTCCCAGATGACTTCTTTGCTTAAGGTCGTTCATTTCTTTGAGTTGTTTGGCCCATCTGTATAATGTTTTTAATGGATATCCGGTAGCTTTTTGAAGGTCTGCGACTTTACGAACGCCACCTTTCCATAAAGCTTTAATATATTGATGGCGCTCTTTTAGTGAAACCATTGTATGATGCTTGCGATCGCCAGACTGCAGATATTTATTAAAATATGATGTAAACAACTTGTTTACATAATAATTTATGTTTTTGTTTAGACATTTCGCGTGATCCGCTCCAAAATCTAAAAAAAAAATTGTCATTTTTTTTCGCCAGAACTGTAAGTATTAGGCAGAACCTGAAATCATATTCTCCAAACTAACATAAGAGCTGATGATTTTGACATTATCTTATCTATCTGAAACCTCTTCAGGTGATATGAGTACACATAATTCATATATTAGACCTTGTTCTATGATTTGATTTTCATCAAGTGATTTCTCTTGAATCATGTCATCATCTTGCTTTACAGATAGAAGATCCAGTTTACCTGAAATCACAAGACTCTGATCGTTTCCTAAGGAAATGGTTTTTTCAAACTCTCTCAAAATTTCTGAAATCATCTGATCATCTTTTTCAGAGTTGTATAATGGGCTGGCAACTATTGATTCACGTTAAAATTTCTCCTCTCGCTTTCTTTGCCTTATCTTATCACTAACGATTTTCTTATGAGCCTTAAGTAAGAAAATATTCATATCTTTCTCTTCTAATGATTTGCCGTTAAGATGCTTCGCAGAGTTAGTAGATACTATTATCGCCTCTAGTACTGCAACTGAATTGAAGCTAAGTGAACTGTTGTTAAAAGAATTATGTAAAGTACCTTTTAGCTCATTTAGAGTCTGCTTCTGTTTCACTTTCATGATTCTATCTTCAAACTCAGATTCCATCTCCTCGATTCTAGCCTGAGTTTAGCATTTTTTGCATTACACCTCTTATTATATTCCTTATTTGCTCTTAGAAACTTAGCATTTCTACGCTTAAGTTCAGCTATTTTCAGTCTCAAGCTTAGCGTTCTTAGTTTTAAGTTCAGTGATACGCTGTTTCAATACTTCAAACTCAGATGACATGTTTATTAATATTATTTTTATATGATAGGAAATATTCAATGTTATGTGTAAAAATTTTTTATTAATACATGCAAATAAATACAAATGTTCAAACCTAGCCTACGATATACATTATTTTTTGATAATTTTTTTAATCCTAGCCCTCTTGCTAGATGGAGAACTATTTACACTAACCTGATCCTTCAACAACCTAACAATAATACTAATTATCTTTTTTACGTTACTTCAAAGTAATTCAGGATTATCTTTAACTGCGAACTTCATAAGATTAATCTAATATTCGCTACCGCTTATGGAGAAGATACCATCTGGAGTATATATGATAAAGTGCTACTCTGTACCTGTGGTCACAATACCATAGATATAATCAAAATAGTCATTTCCAAATGTTTGATCCAAAGTTCATTTCTTTATATTGATCTATAATGCACTTTTAAGTTATGCCAGATTCTGAAAAAAAAATAAAATGCTATTAATACTATTGAATCTTATATAAATTACAAACGGAAAGTAAATTTACCTACGCATATTCAATTTTAATATTATGAGACTTTCCTTCAGTGATACATAGGAGATCTTCTAGACTTTTGATTGTGTAGTCTACTCTGTTTATTGCATTCTCACTGGATATATCTTTCTGTAAAACTATAAATATATTTTGAGAGGTAAGTTTTTTAGCTATAGCGATGAATACATGGAGAATCAATGAAATAAATTTACAATGTGTCGCCTCGTTAACGTCAGTCATAGTTTCTGAAGAGTTGAATAATATTAAACTAGACATGCTTAAATAAAGTGAT